TCAAGGAACCGTTAGCAAGGGTAACTCTTTGAGAAGGAGGTACAGAATTAAAATCAGATAGAAGAGAAGAACATCTAGTCATATGATCGGATACTCCAGTGTCTATAATCCAAGGACTGCAAATGGAAGACAATAGACATGTGTGTGCAGTAACTGACTGGGCAAAGGTAACCGTAGAAGATGAATTAGATGCTTGCTTATAAAACAAAAACTGAGTATACTCGTCACGTGGGACAGTGACCATATCTGATTCAGCTACATTATAAGATTCAGAAGCAACATCACTCGAAGAGAAGGAAACTTGATTTGCATAACTAGATGGTTTTCAATGAAGGTCCCAACAAAAATTCACAGTATGATTAAAAAGGACATAATGAGTACATTTTCATGATTCCCTGCCATGGCCACGTCTTCCCCTTGAATCACGACCACCACGTGTGGAGCGTGCCCCACGACCTCCACGGAAAATAGTATTTTCACTCTTTGAAATGATCAATACTGAACGCTCACCATTCTGCCCAGTATTCAAAGTTGAGGTATCACTGACAAGTGTAACACGCTGAAGTCTAGAAAACACATCAGCAAGAGATAGAAGTGTGAGATTGCCCATAATCTATGAATGAAAAGACTCATAAGCTGATGACAAACCAGTAAAAAAACAGACAACATTAAAGTCCTCACGTTATTGTTGCATACTTCGAACATCAGCAGTAATGAGCTGATACATATTCAACTCCTCACAAACTCCTTTAACTTTGGAATAATACTCTTCTGTACTGTGATTACCTTGTTTAAGATTGAAATACTACTTACAGAGCTTATAAACACGAGCAATATTACCTGTCTCAGAATACAGTTGCTGCAATCTGTCCCATATCTCCTTGGCAGTATCCAAATAAAGTAAAGTTGTATTGATTTGGGGTCCAATACTGTTTATCATCACAAAGATGATCTGAGCACCTTTCTTTTCCCATGCATCAAAAGAAGCATCAATTTCCTTGAGTTTCTTTTTAGTCAGATGAGTACTAAGGCATCTACCTTTGCGAAAAAATTTAACAAAATTAGCCAACAGTATATAATTTTTCCGATTGAGTTTAACAGAAGTCATGGGAGAAGAAGACCAGATGTGGGAGAAAACAAATTTGAATTGGATGCCAAGTTATACCTAGCAAAACAGAGAAGAAAAAGAAGCAGAATTGGTATTCTAGCCGAACTTGGCAAACAGGCCGGATCTGGGCTATCCAGGGTTGGAATAGCTATTCTAGGTTTAGTAAACCAGGATTGGAATAGCATAACCGTGTAGCCAAATAAGGGTCATCTTCTTCTCACCTTCACAAACGCCGGTGAACAAAGCAGTGGAGATAATGGCGACCCAGTCACAAGCAACGGCCGAATTAAGAGGCAGCTACCTCTGCAACTTCCAGCCAAAAAAAAAAAACAAGTCGACGAACCTCTCCTCTATAAATCAAGATGAACTCGCTGACAACCAAAAAAAGAAGCTGTCGGCAATGACGATGACGAATGATGCAGATCTGATGACGACAAATGACGATGTAGATCTGACGGTGAACGAGGAACTGCTGGCGACGAATGAAACACCAACACCATAATCGCGATTCCGATCATGATTCTGATCTTAAACCACACAATTACATACCCTCACACCCATGAATTCGTAGAGCTCTGATACCATGTTCTTTATCATAAGAGACAAAGAGAATGAGAGAGAGAACTTGTACTATATTTCACACATACACACTTACAAACCTAATAAGCCTATACAGGCTTATATAAGGGATACAAGTCACCTTAATAACACAAGGGCCCTACTAACATAATGCAATTACATAATGGCCCAACATATATATATATATAACATTCTAATAGTTTTGATCCAACAACTCTTCAACCTTCTGAAATGGAGGATTTGGCAGGTAGGTAAAAACCTTAGGACGAGACAAGTTGGCCATCCAATTGTCATTCCAAATGTTAATTGTTGAACCATTACCCACCAGCATTAGAAGACCTCTCTGAATATTCTTCTTCTTAGAAAAAATACTCTTCCAACCCCATGAAGCATTGGCTGGGCAACGAGATGCAATGAAAGATGAATCAAGAAAATATTTGCATTTGAAAATTTTGAAGAACAGGGACATTGGATACTTGGCCTTGAACCAACTTCTACCCAAATTTTGCAAGTAAAGCAAGATTAAAATCTTTAATATCTTTGAATCCGAGACTGCTTTTAAATTTTGGCTCACATATAGTGTCCTACTTAACCCAGTTAATCGTTTTTCCTTCGCTCTTCCCGCTCCACCAAAATAGTCAAAGTTTATCAAAGATAGCTTTTGCTATAGAAACGGGAATTCTAAAACTCTGAAGGGCAAAAGTAAGGAGAGCAGTAAAGACAGATTTAATCATAACCTCTCGCCTAGCCCGGGATAGAAAATCACCCTTGATAACTTTGAACTTTAGTTCTAACTTAACCAACAAAAATTTGAAAGATTCTGTTTTAGATCTTAGGAGCATTGAAGGGAGCCCCAAATATCTATTAGCCCACACTGAGTCTCTAACCGCAAAATACTTCTAATTTGAGAGCATTTGTACCAGTCGGTGTTAGGACTAAAAAACATTCCAGACTTAGAAAAATTAATTCTCTGTCCTGAAAGGAGAGAATAGTGATCGAGCACCCCTAAAAGATTGGAGACTTCAACAATCTCAGCTTACAAAACAAAATTGCATTATCTGCAAAGAGCATGTGACTAACAGAATGGACACCTCTCCCAATCCTCACCCCTTAAAAAAGACCATTCCTCTCAGCATACTTCATCATGAGACTTAGGCCTTCTGCACAAAGAAGGAAGAGGGATGGGGATAAAGGATCTCCCTGCCGGAGACCCCTAGATAGATGGAAAAGGCCTCCTGCTTCCCCATTGATCTTGATGGAAAATGAAACTGAAGTGACACAAACCATAATCAATAAAACCCACTGAGAATGGAAACTGTTGAGGTTGAATTTCGCCGCGGTCTAGTACGACACCGTTTCCTGCAAAATAAGGATGGCAAAGTCAAACACCGGTGTGGTGCCGGCCGTTGACCCTCCGACGATCAAGTTAGCAAGGATTCTCGATAGAGAATTTTGATCGTAATTTGCTTAGTAGGAGTTTTTTTTTTGTGTACCTTATTCCCGAGTCATCTTTGTATTTATAGTCACTTCCCTTATTCTTGATAAGGGAGTTTCATCGTCCTTAGCCCATGGAGCCTACCTCGTGGAAATCCTATCCTTGATAAGACTTGAACTTATCCCATGACAAATCCTATCCTAGATACGATTTGTCATCATTCTTATCTAATAGAATGGTTATCCTTAATAACGAGATATTATCGTCTGAGAGTTGGAAAAATCTGGTGGCCGGTCAATATTTAATTCCCTTTTTTGTTAAGTCAAGATTGGCTAGGGTTATTTTTCCCTATCAGTTGCCCCCTATTTCTGGGTACATGGTGGACCAAGGAAATACTTTCTATATTCCATTTGTTTCCCTTTTACTACAGGCCCCTTCCATATTGTAGTAGGACTCCTTTACAAGAACTTCACTGTTACTTGAAAAAGAATTTTCTTTCCTATAAATAGATAAATATATATATTTATTTATTTACCTTCCTTTTCTTTTTGGTCTGAAATCCTCCAAACTAGATCCTAACTGTGAGTTTATTGTGGATCATTGTAGATACGTAATTAGGTCAAGTTGTCTCTACCAGGTTATTGGTGTAATTCCAAAGTGGTTTCGCTATTTTCGCGATATCCGATACCTCATCATGTTCGTGCAGAAAAATAACTTGAATACTGAATCTCAATCCGAGGACTCAACCTCTGCAAGTGTTAAAGAACTCGATCCTGACTATGCTGATGAATCTGGTGTTGATTACTCCTCAAGACCAAAGACTGCTTTTTCAAAGCAACCTCCTCATGAAGGAGAATCCTTAATGAAAGATGAGAACTTATAGAGTTGTAGAGTTAAATATTCCATTCCTTCATCTATTCGTCTTCACAAACCCAAACCAGAAGATAGATGTTCTTCTATTCGTTTGGGTGAGGTATGTTTTTTCGAGTCAACTTTTGCTGCGGGCTTGCGTTTTCCGATTCATCCATTTGTAGAAGAAATTCTTTCTCATCTGAAGATAGCTCCTAATTCATGGAGAATTATTATAGGCTGTTTGATTGTTTGGGGAAAGTGTGGCAATGGCCATCTAACAGTAAATCAATTCCTGCATTTTTATTATCTCAAGAAGAAAAAAGATAATTTTTGGTACTTCCAGTGTAGATCAAAGAAGACATTCCTCCTTGTTGCAACCCCTAAAAATAATAAAGGTTGGAAGAGTCGTTTCTTCTTTATTTCCGGTGCATATGGGAAATTTCCAACTATTTGGAATAATTCAGATCCAACAGGTAAGATTTATATGTATATAGTTTCCAAATTATTATTATTTTTTTTTTTGTACCCGAGGGTACTGTTCCTGAATAGGATTTTGTTTTTTTTTTTTTGGCACCCGAGGGAATAGTACCCTCGGGTACTGTTCATGAATAGGATTTTTTTTTTTTAAGTGCAACTTATTATTTTTTTTCCCAGAATTTAAGGACAAACCAACCCTCTCCATTCCAGAAGCCGAGCATGTTGGTAATGCCTCTTCTTACCCAGTAAAGACCTTTAGCGATCTCATAACTGACGAGACTTTAGATTTGTATGTACGAGCTCATAGCTCAAAGGAAACCTCCACCCACTTAGAGAAAGGTAAGAAAAACAAACATACTTATATGTGAACTTATTGATTCTTAGTTAATATCTCATTACGTATTTCCCTTATTACTTTTTATGCAGGCAAGAAGCTCAGTAAAAGACTCCTAGCCCCAAGTCCGGTCAAGTAATTTCCCTTCTACTCCTGCTTCCAAAAAATTACGAAGGGTAGGAGAAGGGAATCATGGTACATCCGCAAGCCCTGGAATGTTATCAGGTCCTACTCTTGTACCTCTAGGTTTCAGCGGATTTGATGGGGTTCCTACTAGTTTCGAAAGTTTTTGTTCAGTATCAACCAACCAAGCCTTTTCCCACGGGGAATCGGTTCTCGATGACGCTAATGTCGCGAATGACAGGTTACATAAAATGGTAGTAAAAGACGACACTGCCAGATTGCAGAGTCTGCCAGCATCTGAGCTTTCAAAGAAATTTCTTCATCTAATCAGCCAGGTGAGATTTTACCCTTATTATGCGCATCTCTTTTTTTTTCGTTTATTTATTTATTTATTTTTAACTGTTCACCACTATTTATTTATTTATAGGGCACTACATACTCTGTTGTTATCGCCAAAGAATACGAGAAGCTTTCCTTAGAGATGGCTTCCCTCAAGGCTAAATATAAAGATGTTACTTCTACACTTAAAATAAAAGAAGATGACTTGACTAATGCAAAATTAAACTTTCAAGATGAGAAAGTGAAACTTACCAAAGAATACTCTGATAAGCTGGAATTCGAGAAGCTAGCTGCCGTGGAGAGTTTTAAAAATTCTGATGAATTCAAGGTGCTCATAGGCAAGGCTTGCTGTGAAGGTTTTGACCGGTTCAAAGCTCTTGTCGGCAAAGATCATCCAGACATAGACTTTTCTAGGTATGACGTTCTAAGTGAGAGCGAAGAGGAAGATTGAATTCCATAGTATTAGTCATATATATATATATATATATTAGGTTTTTTGATTTTTCAGTATGTTGTTCCTTTAAAACTTTTCAGAATATCTCTGAATCCAGAGAATAGTTGCTCTACTTTTGTCTTTCATGGTATTGTTTCATACTTGTTGTTTCCTTATACAGAACTCATTTTACTTTCCCAGGCTTCACTCAGCCCGTCTTTCTTTCGAAGGAACATATTTTTACGAGCTTCACCCAGCTCGTCCCTTTAGTAAGGAAAAGTCACTTATTTCTTTTAATAAAGAAGGGGACTTAATGTGTCACTAGTCCTTATGTGACTTATAAAATTCTGTAGAAACACGTGCAATAAATACGAATAACCATTTTATTAAAAACCTATCGAAAATAATAATCGATAGTTGAATATTAGCATCCGTTACACACTGGTCTGCTTTATTGTAGCTAAAAACATTCTATCACTTTTAAAAGTGAGATAATAAAATAAAACACAGCCTAGCATGAGTACCTACCGGTAATATTTCCTCAAATGTTCTACATTCCACGGGTGGGGAAGCTAGCTCCCACCAAGTGACTCTAACCAGTATGCCCCCGGTCTGTTGCTTTTGGTTACTCGATAAAGGCCCTCCCAATTGGGAGCTAACTTTCCTTCCCCCTTTTTCTTAGTAGCCGGGGTAACCTCACGAAGCACCAGGTCTCCTGGCTCGAACCTCCTTGGCTTGACTCGGGCATTGTAGTACTTGGATATCATCCGCTGGTAAGCCGCAACCTTAACCTGGGCCTGATCCCTTTTCTCTTTTACCAGGTCTAGGTTTAATCGTAGTTCCACTCCATTCTGTTGAGGTTCAAAATACTTGGTTCTGAAGGTAGCAACCTTTGTTTCTACCAGGATCATAGCTTCACTTCCAAAAGCTAACCCAAAAGGGGTCTCCCCAGTAGGGGTTCTTACGGTAGTGCGATAGGCCCATAAAACTCCGGGTAGTTGTTCAGACCACAAGCCCTTGGCCTTTTCTAGGCGCGTCTTGATCATCTTCAATATTGTCCTATTCGTGACTTCAACTTGCCCATTGGCTTGGGGATGGGCAGGAGAGGAGAAATGAACTTTGATCCCAAGTTCATTACAAAAATCGAGGAACTGCTCACTTTCAAACTGGTTCCCATTATCGGTTACAATTACCCTTGGTGCTCCGAACCTGTAGATTATTGTCTTCCAGAAAAACTTTTTTACTTCATTCGCTCCAATATAAGCTAATGGCTCAGCTTCTACCCATTTGGTGAAATAATCGATAGCCACAATTACGTATTTAGTTTGTCCCTTCCCTTGGGGTAAGGGGCCGATGAGGTCTGTCCCCCATTGGGCAAAAGGCCACAGCCCTGTAAGAGGGGTTAACTTTTCTGCTGGTTGTTTTGGGACATTGGCGAATCTCTGACACTTGTCACATTTCTTCACAAACTCAAGTGCATCTGTCCTCATAGTAGGCCAAAAGTATCCTTGTCGGATAGCTTTATGCGCTAGTGATCTGCCCCCAGCATGATTTCCACAAAGGCCTTCATGTATGTCCTTTAGAATGTAATTTGCCTCATCAATGGAGACACAACGCAAGTAGGGTAGAGAAAATCCCTTCTTGTAGAGAACCCCATCAACGAGGGAATATTTTGCCGCACGCATCCTAATCTTTCGTGCTTCCATGCGGTCCTGGGGTAGCTCTTCTTTCTCAATGTACCTGATAATGGGTTCTGCCCACTCCATGCCATGGGCCACCTGGTGTATTTTCTGTGGCCAATCCCAGACCGTGCTAGGCTCATCCAAATATCCCACGGGTATGGCTTTATCTTCCTCTGTGGTTGCCAGTCGAGCCAGGGCGTCTGCCTGCGCATTCTCTTCTCGGGGAATCCGGTGAATAGAAAACTTCTTAAAAAAACCCTTGATATCCTCTATCTTATATAAATAGGTCTTCATCTTCTCATCCTTGGCTTCATATTCCCCCTGGACTTGTCCAGTTATTAGTTGAGAGTCAGTATATGCTACTAGTCGTTCAACTTCCAAAGCTTTCGCCATCCTGAGGCCTGCTAGGAGGGCTTCATACTCTGCCTCATTGTTGGTTGCTTTAAAACCAAACCTGAGTGCATATTTGATGCATTCCCCATTTGGGGAGATAATTACTAGCCCTGCCCCACTTGCACGGGCGTTGACAGACCCATCCACATATAACGTCCAAGTAGATTCGGCTTCTTCCTGCTTATCTGTAGCATGCTCAGGCCCATCTTCTGGTGTGAATTCCGCTATAACATCTGCCAGTACCTGGGCTTTTAAGGCCGTTCGGGGTTTGTATTGGATATCGAACTCTCCAAGTTCTACCGACCACTTCATGAGTCCCCCTGAAGTATCAGGTTTGCGGAGAACCTGCCTAAGTGGTTGGTCCGTCAATACTATTATTGTATGAGCTTGGAAGTAAGGCCTGAGTTTCCTCGCGGAGATAACTAGAGCAAATGCCAACTTTTCTATCCTTGGGTACCTTTCTTCCGCCCCCCTGAATGCACGACTAATATAATATATCAGTTTCTGGTTTCCATCCTCTTTGCGGACCAAGGCTGAGCTTACTGCCGACGGAGAAACTGCCAAGTACAAATACAACTGTTCTCCTTGCATCGCCCGCGACAATAATAGTAGTGAAGTGAGATACTCCTTTAGCTCTGTAAAAGCTTGCTCGCACTCAGGGGTCCATGAAAAAGCTTTCCTGAGCACACGGAAAAAAGGCAAACACCTATTGGTCGCCCTGGAAATCAACCTGTTCAGAGCTGCGATCCTTCCTGTCAATCTTTGAAGTTCCTTGGTCGATGCTGGAGACTGCATGTTGAGAATCATCTGGACCTTCTCAGGGTTAGCTTCTATCCCTCTTCTACTTACCATGTAACCGAGGAATTTCCCAGAGGAGACTCCGAAGGCACATTTACTTGGGTTGAGCTTCATCTGGTGTTTCCTAAGGACTTGGAACGTTTCCAATAGATCAACCAGATGATCTTGAGCTTTCAAGCTTTTTACCAGCATGTCATCCACATACACTTCCATATTCCTTCCGATTTGGTCCTTAAACATCAGGTTTACTAGCTGCTGATATATTGCACCAGCATTTTTTAGCCCAAAAGGCATCACCTTATAGCAATATAAACCTCTGTCCGTGATGAAAAAGGTTTTATCTCTGTCTGGCGTGTGCATTGAGATTTAGTTATACCCTGAGTATGCATCCATAAAACTGAGCAGCTCATGGCCAGCTGTCCCTTCTACCAACATATCAATTCTTGGCAGAGGGAAACTGTCTTTGGGGCACGCCTTATTTAAATCTATAAAATCTACACACAACCTCCATTTTCCGTTGGCCTTTTTTACCAAAACAACATTGGCCAACCAATCGGGATAATGAACCTCCTGGATGAAATCAGCTTTCATAAGCTTATTCACCTCTTCTGATATAGCCATGTTCCTTTCCGCGGCAAATGTTCTTCGCTTTTGCCTGATAGGTTTGAATATAAGATCTGTGTTTAATCGATGCTCAATCGTAGTTGGATTAATACCGGGCATGTCTTCATGTGACCAAGCGAATACATCTTGATTCTGTCTGAGGAACTGTATAAGAATATTTGTGAAATCTGAGGGGAGCAGAGACCCTATCTTCATCTTTTTGTTATGTCAGTGTCATTCAAGCATATCCACCAAGTCCTCGATTGGCTTAGCCCGGTCTTGCTCATTCTCTTCAACTTCATCGACAATCAAAGCCTCCTGCTGTCTCTTTTCTTTGAGAGAGGCAACGTAGCATTCTCTGGCAATGGACTGATCTCCTCTTAGTTCGCCCACGCCATGCTCGGTAAGGAAGCGCATTAATAGGTGATAAGTCGAAGTGATAGCCCTCATCGAATTTAAGGTCGCTCTTCCTAGGATGACATTGTAAGCAGATGGACAATCCACCACCAGGAAGTCGACCATAACAGTGACTTGTTTTGGGCTGGTTCCTGCAGTGACAGGAAGGATGACTGCTCCTAGAGGATAGACTTTGTCTCCCGTGAATCCCACCAATGGTGATCTGGTAGGTCTGAGTTTCTCCTTACCAATCTTCATCTTGCTGAATGCATCAAGAAAAATGATATCAGCTGAACTTCCATTATCTACCAAGATTCGCCGAGTATTATAGTTAGCGATCATCATGGTGACGACAAGAGGGTCGTCATGAGGTTGCTGCACATCTTTCATGTCTTCATCTGAGAATGTAATAACTGGATCACCTAAACGAGGCATTTTTCGATGTTGAATCTGTACTCCCACTTCGCACACCTCAGATGAGCTTCGCATTCTCCTTGCATAGGCCTTACGGGCTGAGCTCGATTCTCCACCTCCTGCACACCCCCCGGCTATGACCCTGATCTCTCCTATTGGTTATTGATCAGGAGGGTGGTTATCTCGGCCTGCTCTTAGTGGGTTAATGTCGGTTCTGTCATTCCCCATAATAAATTTTCGCATGTGCCCCCTCCGGATCAGAGTCTCAATTTGATCCTTAAGGTCGAAGCAATCCGCTGTAGCGTGCCCATGGTCTTTATGGAACCTGCAATACTTATCACGAGGTCTCCTTGCCGGATCTGACTTCAACTTCGGTGGGCACTTCAGATATGGTTCATCCTGGATCTGTAGGAAAACTTGATCTATCGGCATATTTAAAGGAGTGTAATTTGTATACCTCTCCGTGTTCTTATAGCGAGATGCCCTTTCATTCTGGTTGACCATGGGTTTCTTATACTTGGTTTCCTTTTCATCTCTGATCGTCAGGGCCGGCCTTTTCTTGTCTGACTTCTTATCCTCCCCTTCTTTTCCCTTTCTCGTAATCATTGCATCTTCAGCATTCATATGTCTTTTAGCTCGAACTAATAACTCGGCCATGTTGGTAGGAGGTTCCTCTGATAAAGAGAAGAGAAATCTTGAGGTTTGAAGTCCTCCCATGAAGGCGGCTAGGGCCACCTTGTCATCCGCTTCCTCCACCTGTAACATCTCCGTGTTAAAACGACTAATGTAATCTCGCAGTGACTCTCCCTTCTGTTGCTTCACAGTAAGGAGGTGGGTAGCCGGTCTTCTATGCCTCTGGCCAGCAATGAAATGGCCCACAAAGCCCTTACTCAATTCTTCAAAGGTTTCAATGGTTCCTGGCTTTAGTTTGTTGAACCATACCCGTGCTGATCCTTTAAGAGTCGTTGGGAAAGCCCTGCACATGATCTCATCCGGCATCGCGTGTAGGTGCATAAGCGCCTGAAAAGTCTCCAAGTGGTCGAGAGGATCTTTAGTTCCGTCGAAACTCTCAATTGTGGGCATTCTAAATTTGCTTGGCAAAGGGCATTTCATAACCGAGGGGCTGAATGGCAAATTGGTTTTATGCACCAAACCATCTATGGCTGCAATGCCTTTTCCCTTCATGGCCTGCATCACACCCTCCATCTTTGCCTTGAGATCCTGCATCTCTAGGTCAACGTGGGAAATTTCCTCGGTCTTTTCAATGACAGTCGTGTCTTCATGGGGTCGGGAACTCCGTGGAAGAAAGGGGTGGATCACCTCTCTATGTCAGTTTCCCACCTGGCTTTGTTCAACTTCGGTCTCATGTCGGGGAGGATGAGTATCCTGCTCTTCCAGATTCCCATTACCCCTGTTTGGATTCGAGAGGTCTTGGCGTGGCAAGCCCTGTTAAACCGGTGGAACAAGGTGTTGCAGGAGTGCTGCATTTTGTTGGATCAACTGGTCCATACCCTGATTCAGAGTTTGGACCTGCAGTTCCAACGCTGCAAATCATGTCTGGTCATTTGGGACGTCTAGATTTTCACCCGACTCTTCCCTTTGACTAGATCCCTGCGACGGTGTTCCTTCGGTAACCATACCGGACCGCAAACGTCTATACCCAACGAGTAATAAATCGATTCAAGGGAATCGCTGTTCCCACAGACGGCGCCAACTGTTGAGGTTGAATTTCGCCGCGGTCTAGTACGACACCGTTTCCTGCAAAATAAGGATGGCAAAGTCAAACACCGGTGTGGTGCCGGCCGTTGACCCTCCGACGATCAAGTTAGCAAGGATTCTCGATAGAGAATTTTAATCGTAATTTGCTTAGTAGGAGTTTTTTTTGTGTGTACCTTATTCCCGAGTCGTCTTTGTATTTATAGTCACTTCCCTTATTCTTAATAAGGGAGTTTCATCGTCCTTAACCCACGGAGCCTACCTCGTGGAAATCCTATCCTTGATAAGACTTGAACTTATCCCATGACAAATCCTATCCTAGATACGATTTGTCATCATTCTTATCTAATAGAATGGTTATCCTTAATAACGAGATATTATCGTCTGAGAGTTGGAGAAATCTGGTGGCCGGTCAATATTTAATTTCCTTTTTTGTTAAGTCAAGATTGGCTAGGGTTATTTTTCCCTATCAGAAACCAAAACCACAGAGCATACCTTCCAAAAAATGCCACTCAATACGATCATATGCTTTCTCCATATCAAGTTTGAAAGCTATGAATCTCGTCTTCCCTACTTTCTTCGACTACAAAAAATGCATGAATTCATAAATAAACAAAATGTTCTCGTGAATAACTTGATTGGGCATAAAAGCAGATTGTTGATCCAAAATAACAATATGCAATAGAGGGTGCAAACGATTAGCAATAACCTTAATTAGAGAAAATTTTGTAAACAACATTACAAAGGCTTATTGGACAAAAATGAGTCACAAGGGTTGGGTTCTTTACCTTAGGAATCGGGACGATATTTGTGTGGTTAAGGCTTTGAAGCATTCTTCCCGTAAATAAAAAGTGGTTGAAACCCTCAATTAAGTCATGTTTTAAAACCTCCCAGTGTTTTTGAAAGAAAATTATAGTGAAACCATCAGAACCTGGGGCTTTGAAGGGATCCATAGAGAAAAGGTCAATCTTAAGCTCCTCCTCAGTACCTATCTTCAATAAATCTCTATTCATATAATCAAATATCAAATGTGGAATGGATTACCAGAAGGGCGAAGAAAAATTAGATTGGTCCAAGGAAAACAAACTCTGGAAATAATGTTCTGCGATACCACAGACTTCCTCTTTGGTACTCAACCAATTTCCACGAGCATCTTCTAAGCCTAAGATCTCATTTTTGCGATAAAAAAAAAAAATAGTGTTTTCATCTCCTAGATTAAGCCAAGATTCGAGACTTTTGCTTCCAATAGACTTCTTCTCATCTCCAGGCCTCTTCAAGATCTTTCTCAACTCTGAAAATCCAATGCCTGTTAATACTTCCCCTGCGGGCCTTTAGATTCTCCAATTGTGCTTGAAGAAGATTGATATGTCTCCGAGAATTGTTATAAATATTGGATTTTTCCACGATATGAGTTTCACCTTGCATGTTTTCAGTTTCTCTTGGATGCGAAAGAGTTGAGAGCCTTGCACTGGGACGGACTTAGAATCACTGATAATTTGGGAGAAGGCCTGGTACTTGATCCAGCGGGCGTCAAAATGAAATTGTTTACTTTACTTGGCCATAAACTATTTAATTTGAGCATAAGGGCGAGGTACATTTATATAAATAAACATTTTATATACTTTTAAAAAAATATAGTGTACATTTATTTGAATAAAGAAAGTAGTATCAATAATGAGAGAAATAATAGAAAATAGAAGATAATATAATAGTTTATTTTGTAAAATTATATGGATAAAATATAAATCTGCAGGATTTCAGACAAATCTCATCGTTTTTAGTGTTATAGGCAAAGTACCAAAATTTTCAAAAATTTTAAGGTAAATTACTCCGACCTCCCTTAAAGCTTGGCCTAATTACCCTCAAATTATGTTAGAAACGGGGGCATTAAAAACATAAACTTTTGATGAGATTTGAAATAGATTCCGCTACTAATTTTTTACGGATCTCTAGACAAGCACGTTTCTCTCCGCAAGGAGATGAATGTGATATATTTACTTTCTGAAATCCGTTTCTGGATGAATGAGAAATTAGCTCCAAAGTGTAGTGTTTTGATAAGCCTAAATAGGTATGCAAAATGTGGGAAGTGTTTGTCCCACATGGAAAAAATGTTGAAACAAATTGAAATTTAAATAAGCTGAGTTTAGGATTTGGGCTTGGGCTTGGGCCTAATTGTAAAGTCCAGATTATTCTTTTTTGGAATTTTAGATTGGGCCTAATTTTGGGCTGGGCTTATTTAAATGGGTTTTACAAATGAGTAGGTTTTTTTGGGTGGTTGGTTTTTTGAATTAAAAAAACTACTTTTTAGTTTTTCTAAAAGGTTACACCTTTTAAATTAAAAAAACCATATTTTAGTTTTTCTAAAGGGTTACACCTTTTAAATTAAAAAACCACTTTTTAGTTTTTTCAAAAGGTTACACCTTTTTTCGAACCATCATGACCCATGGTTGCACCCATTCGAAAAGACACATTGCAACCTATTGGAATGGATGTGTCTATTGGTGAACAGACACCATGTGAACCATTGCAACCTATTGGAATGGATGTGTCTATTGGTGAACAGACACCATGTGAACCATTGCAACCTATTGGAATGGATGTGTCTAGTGGTGACTAGACACCATGTGAACCATTGCAACCTATTGTAATGGTTGTGTCCAATGATGAAGAGACGCACCCAATCAGAAAAGGCATTTCTGTTTCTATAAATACCCCCCTTTGGATCATTTGCAAATTATTCATTTTCATTTTCTTCTATCTCCCTCTCTAGACTAGAACCCAACCCAAGTGGGTTCAAACCTTAGGTTAAGTGGTTCGAGCCACTTCGATCCTAATCCAATTTCATCGAGCTATATTAAGATTGGTCCGAACCATTTGGTTCAGATTACACCCAATTCAGCATTTATATAGTATATAGATGCATTTTTTAGTCAGAGAGAGTATTACACGGAGGAGGTTCGCCGTATCCACGAGTTTGTAGTGCTGCTACTGGTGGATGTAGACCGTTGTATCCTGGGAGATAGACGCCACTGAGTCCGTTAGCACCATAGCGGGGCGAATCTGTCTTAAGGACATGGTATCCAATACTAGCCTCGGTCCAGGTTCATTCCTTGCATATTATTATTATTTTATTGCTTTATTTTGTATATTTAATTAAATATAGAGTTGCATATTTAATTAATGATTTATTAGCATATTGTTAATTATCTCATGACATATTAGTATAAAGGTTGTTATATCTTAGAAGTCACATTAAGCATATATTTTACCAACAAATTATACTTATAACATTTTTTTAGGTCAACCTTCCTCCGGGTTTGTTTGAAATGGCTCTGACCTCCCCTACTCTTAATTTAAATTTAAGTCTAGTAAATGATAATTCTTAAATGCCAAAAACATCCTTATGTTTAGCGTCATTTCTTTTTCATTGTCTCCTTGTTTTCTCTAGCTTTTGTCAACAATCCCATGTATATAGAGTGATTAACTATAAATAAATAAGTTATACATACCCATACGTGTATATGTGTAAATAAAAAACACAAACAAGCATTCACCTGTTTCCTCTGGCAATTGGGAGAGTGGGTTTTGGAAATTAAGGTTGATTGTAGCACATCAACGTGCATGGTGTTGCTTGAGCAAGTATATATATTTTTTGCAAAATGATAAAAGTTTCTCTGGCTAAAAAAAGCCGGGGACTTGAATCTTGATCTTCTCCTTTGAAAGAAGAGAGAGATTTTTTAATTGCTTGCCATGCATAGTCTCGTCAAACAACGTGCTCAATATTGTCTTTTGAAAGAAGGGAAAGTTTCACTAGTGTATAGTTTTTGATGATGAATACGGAGTATTTATTAGAGTAGTTAAGAAATGAACTCAAACATCGTATCATTAAGGGGCGGAGCTAATTAAGGCTCAGAGGGGCACGTGCCCATCCCTACTTTGTTCCAACTAATTATACGTAGGTATATATTTTTGCTATATACATATACTTATATGGTAATTTTATATATATATACTTATATGGTGATTTTAAATAGTCCCCCCAAAATTTCAAAATTTTCTAATTTCCTTTTGAAAAAAAAAAATTACATATATCCCTCTCTTCAGGTATACCATATCATTTTCTAACTTTTGTTTCCTTTTTTTTAAAAAAAAAAAATTACATATATTCCCCTCTTCAAGTATACCATATATTTATCCTTTTTTAACTTTTGTTTCCTTTAAAAGAAAAAAAAAATCCTTTTTCACTTATATATAATTATGTATTTTTCTATCGATCACATTTGTGATTGTATTTATTTAAATATTATTTTACAATTATATTTTTTTTACAGTATTTACTTAGCATATTATTTTACAATAAATTTTTTTTTTCTTATTTGCCTTTTATTTAAAAAAAATTATACTTCGTATTTGTCATATTTATTGATTTTTTTTTTTTTTTTTCAAGAAGTGCATTATGCCCCCTCTAAAATAATATCCTTGGTCCTGGTAGCATTACTTAGTAATTCCAA